AGGAGAAACTTCCTGACAGTGAGAACAATTAACCAGTGGAACAACCTGCCTCCAGAAGCGGTGAATGCTCCAACACTGGAAGTTTTTAAGAAGAGACTGGACAGCCATTTGTCTGAAATGGTATAGGGTTTCCTGCCTGAGCAGGGGGTTGGACTAGATGACCTCCAAGGTCCCTTCCAACTTTACTATTATTGTTGTTGTTGTTGTTGTTGTTGTTATTATTATTATTATTATTATTATTAATATTATTATTATTATTATTATGTTTAAAAAAACGTGAAGAGATAAAAAATGAAGTGAAAATATTCCTCCAAAGGCAGCAAACCATGGAGAGTGGGTTTTTTTTAATGGGAGATTTTTCCCTCTCCTTCAAATAGATACTGTTACCGTTTCATACTTTTGCTGTAAAGAAAATGAGAGCTTTTGAAACTGTCATGCAGCAAGAAATCAAGTGGGTCTCTCTTGCACTTCCTTTCTATTTCAGAGAATATCCCCACCCAGATACCTCAATTAGATATCTTCCCAACCATAACTCACTCAAATTGCATGGCCACTGGAATATATCCCAACAGTCATATTCTGTAACCTCTCAAAAGAGCCAGAAGATGTTATCAGGAGTCATGGGATACAATGTCTTCATATATCCTTGGTTTTTTGCTTTTTTTGTTTTTTTGTTTTAAAAAAGGCAAGTAAAGAAAATATGGCTATTCTGAAATCAACATCCAGCAAAGAAACATCTTGCTTTGCCATATGGAATGACACACAATTGTATGATTTTGTTCTAGTTCTATTAAAGCTGGTCAGGCAGGAATGAATAAGAGATATTTTTTGTAATAAATACTGTGAATACTTACAGGTGCATTTCCTTGTCTCAGGTGTGAAAATACTGCATCAAATGCTTCTTTGAAATGTTCTTTCACAATTTCTTTCATGAGTTTGAACAACCAAGCCCTATCAGCATCATCCACAAGCCGGTCATAAAACACTCGAAATACTTCATGTACAAAGAGACGAATCATTGTATGCTTGTTGACAACTGAATCCTTCTTAATAAGCAAGCAGCCTAAGATAACTCGTGAAAAATCACGCAAATTGAATGTATAATGGGATTTGGCTGGTGTTGGCAATAGGTTTGCCATGGCTTTCTTGTATACCTTAATTATTGGAAAGAAAAAAAGCATAACTTTTAGAATTATGAACTTCATAAACTTAGATCACCAAACATGTATGTATTTACATTTGTACTGAATTTCAAGATTGCCCAAATCCATAACAGAGTTGGAAGGGACCTTGGAGGTCATCTAGTCCAACCCCCTGCTCAGGCAGGAAACCCTACACCATTTCAGACAAATGGTTGTCCAAACTCTTCTTTAAAACTTCCAGTGTTGGAGCATTCACAACTTCTGGAGGCAGGTTGTTCCACTGACTAATTGTTCTGTCAGGAAATTTCTCCTTAGTTCTAGGTTGCTTCTCTCCTTGATTAGTTTTCATCCATTGCTTCTTGTCCTGCCTTCAGGTGCTTTGGAGAATAGTTTGACTCCCTCAGGCAACCCCTGAGATATTGGAACACTGCTATCATATCACCCCCTTGCCCTTCTTTTCATTAAAAAAGAAACTGGCTCTGTTTGAAGGATGGGAGTTGTATGTATCTCTGGGGGATGCTGTTCCAGAGGACAGATGCCATAGCAGAGAAGGCATGCTTCCTCATTCCTGCAAGATGACATTTAACAGAAGGGACCAGAGCATACCAACTCTGCATCATTGTACTAGGTGGCCAGAAGATTTGGAGATGGATGCTCTCTCAAATATCTGAACCTTATGCCATTAAAGGTGATAAGCAGCACTTTTAATTGCAACCAGTCCTGGGCAGAGGCAGAGATTACATTACAATTAATGCAATGCTCATTTCATAATTTTTCTCATCAATCCCTTGCACACATTTTCCTCAATACTATTTCAGAAAATATTTGCCTGTTAGAAAAATTAGTTGCACTTTTCCCCCAAATGATGTACTCATGAGGCTATCTGAGTCATCTGGAAAATCTCTTAGTTTACATTTTAACACAAATAACTAAGCAGAGAATATGACCTACCTCCATAGTGCCACTGACAATCTGGTTTCCAATTGTGAAATATTCTGGAATAAATTCATTTACTCTGAGATACAAAGAAACAAGAGTAGAAAAAATCCGGACCATTGTTTCATCACTGAAGGAATTAATGGTGCAAATATTGAAATGTCTCAGGAAACGAGGTGTTACAGGATTTCTTCCACCACCTGGTGGACCCATGGCAGCCATCAACTGAATATCAACTAGTGTTATTTTATTTGTGTCTTTTAAATCATACCTTTAAAAGAAATATGCGATATTCAGACAACCACGGTGATATATGAAAGTTTAGTGCAATAGCATAAAAATACCTTAATATGCAACTAGCTAATATATAGTATTTTATATATTAACTGTGCAGCAAAGTTTCCCTTTCCAATCCTCATCTTTACATCATCCTGCAAACCTCCAAATCTGTTCCAGTGGAAAAGGAATTCCATTGGCAACAGGACAAAATTTGGTACAATACCACAATTTCTTAGTACTGCAGAAATGATCACATGAAAGGGGATTCCATATGGAGTCACACTTGCATTGTTATATACTATTATGAGTAATGAAACACTCACTAAGAAAATAAAGCTTTATTGTATATGGATATTTAAGAAGGATATATATTTATAAATATACACTTAATCCTCATTATTAAAACTTTATGAGAAATGCAGCTTCCTTTTAATAATATAGACATATCTAAAATTATCTTCTAAAAAAATCCACCTTAGAATTAAATATGTGGGATAGATGACTGACTTTTTCAGATTATGGACCGGACAGGGCAGAGTATTGTGGTTTTTCTTTTTATCCCCAACCTGGAAGACTAACAGGATGCTTCTTTGGCTAGCTACAGCAGTGACAGCTGGCTCTCAGGTTTAAACTGCTGAATCTACCAGGTATGGTTATGCCTTTTAATGAGGAAGAAACAAGACACTGAGCATGTTGGTTGCTCAGGAGAATCATACTGGTTACTGGTTGCATCTCCAGAATAGCCATTGGGGGGGGAGGGAGATCTACTTCTCTAGAGTAGCTGGCAACCCAACAACTCACTGTGACAAAAAATAATGTTATAACTCTCTAGAACAGTGGTGGCGAACCTATGGCATGCGTGCCAGAGGCGGCACGCAGAGCCACCTCTGTGGGCATGTGTGCCATCACCCCACCTCCCTCAGCAGCCACCCCAGAGGAGAATTGACCCTGGGCACAGCCTGCACGGAGCAGCGCAGCCAAGGACATGGGAGCCGGGCAGCAGGGACAAGACTCCGCCCTTGCGCCCCATCACGCGCAGATGTTATGGGGTGTGGATGGAGGGCGTGGCCATGGTGCTGCAGGGCCACCTGGCCAATTTATGGTGGGCCATAGAGGCGGTAGGTGGCCCTGCAGATGGACGGAGCAGGGGGCGGAGTGGGGACAGGGCAGGGGCGGGTGGGGTGGGTTTTGGGCACTCAGTGTCTAAAAAGTTTGCCATCACTGCTCTAAAATAACTTGCATTACATGGAGGATCCTTCAAATACTGGGCCAGTGTTTGCTTCAGGAAAATGTCTAGTGTTGCTCTCCAGAGCCACCAAATGGTTAAATGATATGTCCCGTTTTAAAAAAGTGAATTATGGATGTAATCCTGGAGGGTTTGTGCTGCTATGGCACAAAAATATTCAGGTCTACCTGCTTCAAAATATCTTGCTCTGAAGAAGGACCCCTCAGGTTGAGTATGAAAGGCAAAGTAGTTTATATTACTGCTACTAATAATGAAGCAGTCCCTCCCCAAAAATGCAGAAAAAACCTCCCACAGTGGTATATTCTCACATCTGAAACAGACAGATGTTTTGTATCACTGATAGTCTGATAACATTCAAAGATTTACTTATTATACAAAATAAAAAAATTACCAGATTCCATGATCAAAAAACTGTCTTAAAAGTTCAACTGGAGGCTGAGCTCCATATTGCTCCAGTGCAGGCATATTCATATCATCTACAAAGATTACACACTTCTTTCCCACAGGTGGCCCATATATTCCTTTCCGCCTTTTGTCCAGCCTGGCCATGATAATATTCTACAATAAAAAAGAACATGTTTCCATTCACTAAAAATAACTTATGAGGAATAACACATCAAATTATTGCATTCTTTTTAAAAATAAAGGTAATAATAATAATAATAATAATAATAATAATAATAATAATAATAATAATAATAATAATAATGTTGGAAGGGACCAAAAAAACAGTGAGTGACATGGCTTAACTTTAACTGCATAAAACCAACCCTCAACAGATGGACAACACCAATGCAAGAGAGATCACATTTATCACCAGCTGCAAAATATGGAACCTAAGCAAACTGGAAACAGAAGCTTCAAGAAATGCTACAAATGATAAAGAGTTTATTGCTAAAGATCTTGTTCAAAGAATCCTAGATCAGAAATTTGTAGCGGAACCAATTTCAAAACTGTTATCACAGTAGCACAAAAACTGTAGAAAGTAAGGAACATGACCTTGACAGAAATATGCAGAAACCAATACCAGGGGCAAAAGGAGCTGAAATATATTTTACTCCAGAACAATAAGATAATATTCAGAAGTGACTTAGGTGGAAACCTCCCTAATTTACTGAAGTATAAGAAGAACTAAGTAAAATCAGTTTTGCAAGATTCTATTATGATAATCAATCTCAATAAAGTAGTTTTAGTCTTACTATAGAGTTGATTTCCTGGTCTGGTCTAGCTAGTGGAGCTGAGAAAAACAGAAATGTGAACAAGCAAAGCAGCTCATATGCATGCATATCAACAGATGGGGCTGAAAGGTGATATACAGGAAGCTCTATTACTCTGTATACCCCTAAAAGTAAGTACTTATGAGATAGATGAAATTAAAAAAAACTCGTGGTACTAGTAGGAACATTATAAAACTCAAACATATGCATTATTGTTATTTTTGAAGCTTCATGAAGAATCAATCATTTGTTTCACCATCCTCTGATCCTAAGAGAAGTTTCAACTTTTCTACTCTAAAGATAAAAGGGCTATATTGTATAATTATTATGAAGAAAATTAAAAGAACTCATCCACATAAAGAGTCTCAAATAGCTTTCTCCACATGCATCCATAATAAATGCAGATAGCCACTTACGGCAAACTTATGCTAACAAACATATCAATTCACCTCTAACAGGGATGCCTCTGTGGCAATATCTTTCCTGATTTAATCAGATATTGACCCAGATGATTGAAAGTATGTAAAACTAAACAGAGATGCAAGCCACATTGTGCGGCAGAGTATATTGCAGTATGACATATTTCTAGCACACAATGCAAATAAAGCAGATGCAGACAAATGTTACTCTAACTTGTAATTTAAAAATGATTTATAAATGGTTTATAAAAGTTTTGTGGGTAAGTAAAACAGCTGATCACGAATCTTAAATAAAATCCACTTGATTTTTGAACAAAAATATGTATTTTATAGAAATATAGACATAGAGATATAGATATAGAGATATATACACACACATTTTTATATAGGAGTTCTTGAACCATTCTCCTATTTTTGCCCACAACAACATTGATGTGAGAGAGGTCACAACAATGTCCCTACAAGATTGCCTATGCTTAAATATAATATGTTTTATTCAGTGGTGGGATTTCAATATGTGAACAACCGGTTCTCTGTGTAGATGCCACTTCCAGAAGTCCATTCTGGGCCTGGGCAACAAAAAATTAGCTACCGGTTCTGCCGAAGTGGTGCGAACTGACTGAATATCATCACTGGTTTGATTGTTAATTATATCATTTACCTAAGCAAATGATAGAAATAAATGAACATTCATGTCAAATGAATCTAAATGTAAACTGCAGGTCTAAAACAAAGTAGGGTTCCAGCAAAAATAAATTTTAAAAATTCAAATTTTAATAAAAGATTCCAAATTCCCCAAAGAGAACTATCTCACTAACCTGAGTTTGATTGGCACTGGTTCGAGCTGAAAAGTTAAGGAAGAATGGGAAGTAGAGATCCTTTTGTAAGTGGTGCATTAGCTTGTCTTTTACGTATACAGACTTCCCAGTACCAGTAGGTCCCACAAAAAGCAGAGCCCTTGGTAAGAAATTCAGACATTAGGTTTTCATGACTAGACTAAACTAGATAGTACTATGATTCTGACAATTTTTTATTGCTTGAGAATCATATGACTGCTTTATAATTTTAGTTACCTATTCATGGAATCATAAAGAAATAAAAAAATAAATACAACTGAAATGTATGTAGAAGTCCTATATGTTAAGCAGAAAATTCAGGCAATCATACGTGCAAGATTGATGTCAGTCCCACTGAATGGACTAGACCACTAGGAGTCAACTCCACAGGAAGATTTAAACTATATTTATTGAGATTGGCTATAACAGACTTGCAAGTTTGATTGTGCTATATCTCCTTCTTCCTATACTTCACTGGACTTGGAAGGTGTCCATCTGAGCTACTTTCAAACATCATCTGTCTGTTGTGGACTTAAAATCATCCCTCCTGAGTGGCACAACTGACAACAACATTAGCATCATTAGCATTTGTGAAGACCTTTCTGTTTTCCCAAGC